GATCTTCCAATTCTCTTCACCAGGTGTTAGTTCTGAAAATGGCCCAGAAGATACAGCATGCTCATGGCTTTGACCAATATCTTCAAGGTCTGCACTGTATTTCCTCTGCTGCTCTAATATTAAACATTTATTGGTGCTATTTATCATCATTGGAAATAGGACCAACCAGAACTCTGTCTTAAAACTAAAGGTCTGTATGTATGTTTGCAGGGCTGACCATTTGATATTTGATAGACAACTGAGCAGGATGCACTCATGTATTTAGGAGTGTGTGTGTGTGTGTGTGTGTGTGTGTGTGTGTGTGTGTATCAACAGTGAAAAAGAGGTCATGAATTTCAAAGAGTATAAAAAGGGATATATGGGAGGTTTGGAAGGAAGAAAGGGAAGGGAGAAATGATGTAATTATATTATAATCTCAAAAAAAAAGGAAATAATTAGTTCTGGTATAGGAACTAACACTCTTTGAGGCAGAAGGTCAACAGTGGATATGGATTTTTCTACCACTGTAAGGGTTATGTGGGGCAGCCTTGCACTAAGTGAGCAATCTGACTGGAGGACAAGAATCTGCATAAAGGACATATACTTAAAATGTAACTGTTTTCAGAAGTTTTCTTACAAACAGTACTGAGTGGTTGAAGGGGTGCAGGAAGCAGGATGAGGGCTCTATAACTGGTGAGAGAGCATTTGAAGAAACAGGCCCATAAAAGGCTCCTTTCCCTGCAACAAATGGCCTTAAAATGAACAGCATCAGCTCCTATGGACCCTTCCTCATCCATTATATAAAGGAAACTAGGACATATGTTTAGGAGATATGGAAAATATACACAAAACAGCAGATTTCTGAAGCTAAGCAATTAGCTACAGCAGGGGCTTTCCATCAGCACAAATGTGGCTCACCATTCCTGCAGCTCAGGAGAAGGGATCAATCCTGCAGACTCCTTGGAGGAGCCTTCCACTCGTCCCTGCCACCAATTGCTGTCATCTTTGTTGATGATCTGGATAATGTCTCCAGTAACAAACTTCAGTCCTGCCTCCTTGCAAGGGATAAGATTGTCCTTTTTGGGATCATAGTCAAACTGTGCTCTCATGAACATCTGTAAAAGAAGGCAAAGAGGACCTCAGGAAAAAACACTGGCACTACAGCATGTACATAAGAAGTCCTGCTGTAAGGAAATGGGAAATGAACAAGCGTGAGGCAAGAATGGTAGGGGAACACCCAAACATGTGCAGCTGGAATGTTCAAATGTTCCTAACTACTTACTGTTGTGTTTGTAGAAGAATCAAAACTGATCCTTTTAATAAGAAGGCATTCCCATGAAATGCCTTTCTGGGTCAACATGTTTCCAGCTATTGAATCTGAGTTGTCCATCTCAGAGTACAGAGCTGCTACCATCCATCTGAAATGGATCTGTTTCCTTGACAAAATACTCTCATGAATATGGTAAAGTTGATAAACATTTCTCTAGAGGACAGTCTAGCAATATAAATGTGCCCATCATCTTCAAATGTTGACATTCTTTGCCTTGATTACTATGCATTTATCTTACATGAAACAGAGCTGCCAGTAATGATTATGTGGATAAGCATGTGTATCACAGCATTATTTATTTATTTATTTATTTATTTATTTATTTTTTTTTTTTTTTAAAGATTTATTTATTTATTATGTAGACAGGAGAGGGTGCCAGATCTCATTACAGATGGTTGTGAGCCACCATGTGGGTGTTGGGAATTGAACTCAGGACCTCTGGAAGAGCAGTCAGTGCTCTTAACCTCTGAGCCATCTCTCCAGCCCCCTTTTTTTTTTTTTTTTTTTTTTTTTTTTTTTTTTTTTTAAGGTTTTTTGTTTTTTTTTTTTTTTTTTTTTTGGTTTTTTGAGACAGGGTTTCTCTGTGTAGCTTTCCGCCTTTCCTGGATTTCTCTCTGTAGACCAGGCTGGCCTCGAACTCACAGAGATCCATCCACCTGCCTCTGCCTCCCAAGTGCTGGGATTAAAGGCATGCGCCACCACTGCCTGGCTTATCACAGCATTATTTATAAGAGTGAAGTATTGGAAACAATTTAATTTCCTAAGACATTCTTATTTGTCCATGATAAATGGTTAAGTATCTGCTGAGTATATCACCAGTATATAATATATTTTGTAACACAAAAACCCAACTTGTAGAAGAATATCTAATGTCCTTGGCAATCCTGCTGACATTATATGAAATAAGAACATTATTAAACAGAATAATCCTAGAATGGTCAAAATTTTAAAAAGAAATGTTTATTCTAGAAAAAATGACTAGAAGAAATTATTCTAGAATTTAATACTGATTTTCTTGGTTAGTTTTTATCATCAACTTGACACAACCTGGAGTCATCTGGGAAAGGGAACCTCATGTGAAGAATAGCTTCAGAGTGACCTGTGGCCATGTCTGTTATAAATTGTCCTGACTGATGATGATATGAGAGGACCCAGCCTACTATGGACAGCATCATCCTTAGACAAGAAAGCTTGGGTTGTGTAAGAAAGCTAGCAGAGAACAAACAACAGAGCAAGCCAGTAAATGGCATTCCTCCATGTTCCAGCCTCAGATTCCTGCTTTGAGTTCTTACCCTAGCTTCCCTCAATGATACATTGTGATCTGGAAGTGTAAGCTGAAATAAACCCTTTCCTCCCAAGTTGCTTTAAGTCAGAATGTTCTATTATAGCAACAGAAAGCAAACTTGGACACTGGTTATCTGTGGTAGTAACATTAGGGAGCATAAATATAGCTCAAACAAATAAGGAAAGAAATAATAAGGAGCAGCAAGAATTAAAATAGAAAACACCATTTAGAAAACCAAAAAGGGCCAACTGGTTCTTTGAAAAGATTAATGAAATTAAGAAAACAAAGGTTACAAATTACTAGTAAAAAAGCCAGGTGTAGTGGCCCACTCCTTTAATTCCAGCAGTTGGTCTCTGTGAGTTCAAGGCCAGCTTGGTCTACATAGTGAGTTCCAGAACAGCCAGAACTACATAGTAAGACCCTGTTTCCAAAAACAAAATCAAAAAACAATTTACTAGTAAAGATCCTAAAGATATTCAAGAGGTTTTAATAGGATATTGTGATAATTAGGCATGACTGCCCACATCTGTAACCTCAACAGACAGGGACACATAGGTGAATCTCAGAAATTTGCTGGCCTTACTGAAATGGTGAGCTTCAGGTTCAGTAAGAGACCCTGTTTAAAGGGAATATGACATCGAGTGGCAATGCAAGATACCCAGGGTCCTTCTCTGTCTTTGAGAGTACACACAACTTTACACACATGTGCATATGTATACACACACTCAAAAAGTCATCTTATGAGCAATTTCACACCAATACATTTGACAAGACCTGATGGTTTTTCTCTGGTCAAATTTTGAAACAGTTGAAGAAATAGGTTATTCTCACCCAAATACAAATAGCAGAGAATTCTAGAGCCTCCCAACTCATAACCATAATACCAAAATCTAACAAGAGCCTTCCATTCTCTCTGAGGATCAGGGATATAAAAATCCAAAATGAAATAATAAATCAAACACAGCAATTTATCATAAGGATATGAAGTCACAATCAAACAGGATCTAGTTCAGCAACACAAAGTTTGGGACATTAACAAAAAAGAATGGAGAACAATCACATGATCTTGTCACTAGGTACACAGATAAAATTCAACACTCAACCAATATTAAAATTTTAACAAATGTGGAACAGAAGGGAGCTCCTTGTAAGCATCTTGGGGCTGGAGGGATGGTTCAGATGGCAAGTACTGCTCTTCCAGTGGACCTGAGTATGACTTTCAGCACCCATATTAGGTGGCTCACAACCAGCTCCAGGGAAATCTTGATACCTCTGGCCTCTATGAGCACTTGCACTTATGTGCACATACATACAGACACATAATTAAAATAATAAAAATAAACTAAAAAACCTACAGCCAACTGTAGGTGGAAGTTTCTCTCCCGCCTGCCTGTTCCCAAATACCCAGAAACCACTTCCCAAATAATTGACTTGGAGGCTTAATATTACTTATAAGTGCTTGGCCAGTGGCTCAGGCTTATTACTAACTAGCTCTTACACTTAAATTAACCCATGATCTATGTTTAGCCACATGCCTTGGCCCTTTTCTCAGTATGACATTCTCATCTTGCTTCCTCTGTGTCTGGCTGGCAACTTCTGACTCCTCCCTTCCTCTTCCCAGCATTCTTAGTTTGGTTGCCCAGCTTACACTTCCTGCCTGGCTACTTGCCAATCAGCATTTTATTAAACCAATTTGAGTGACAAATCTTTACAGTGTACAACAGCATTATCCCACAGCAGCCAACATACTTTACAATGAAAAAAAGATTTCTCTTCTATACTGAAAAATAGAGAAGGATTCTGCCATTACCATTTCTATTGGGATTTTGTGAAGATGTCTCCTTTCCTAAAAATGATATGGAGATTTAATGCAAGGGTAAATAGACTAATTACACGGAATAGGCCTACATATATGACTTAAGATAGGTGATGGTGCATATAATATGAATAGGATCTTTACTTCAATTAATAGTATTGAGTCCACTGATATCCATATGGAAAAAGTGAACTCTTGACCTCTTACTTTACAATATCACATAAAAAATCCATTTAATTCTACATGGGTTTAGAAGAAAGAGTGTCCTTTTGACCTTGTAGTAAGCAAAAAGAAAACAAAGTACTAATTATATGAGGGAAAAAGGTAGTAATTTTGATTTCATTAAGAATCTTCTTCTACAGCCGGGCGGTGGTGGCGCACGCCTTTAATCCCAGCACTCGGGAGGCAGAGCCAGGCGGATCTCTGTGAGTTCGAGGCCAGCCTGGGCTACCAAGTGAGTCCCAGGAAAGGCACAAAGCTACGCAGAGAAACCCTGTCTCGAAAAACCAAAAAAAAAAAAAAAAAGAATCTTCTTTAGTCATTAATAGTACCATGAAGAAAATAAAAAAGCAAATTTGAGATACATAGGACAAAGTACTCTTTGCTTTAGAAAATATGAGGGATTCCTACAATTTGGTAAGAAAAATTCAAGCTTTACCAAAAAAGTATATTCAAGTAGAAAAAAACATATATAAATAGTAAATGGAGCATTCCCCAAGTATCAGAGAAATACAAATGAGAATCATGATGTAATACTACCCCGATAATGGCCAAACAAACAAAACCAGACAATTCTAAGTTTTGGTGAAAATATGGAATAAGTGTCATACAAGTAAGCACATTTGAGACTATAAAATGGAACAACTACTTTCAAAGACCGCTGGGCAATACTCCTAAAATCAAAACACACCTGTGTCTTAAAATCCATCAATTCTACCCCTCAAAATAAAGGTATAAAACACACATCCAAGAAAGTTCATAGTGACCACCATGCCATGCGGCTGGGCCTGCTGAAGTCAGTTCCAGAGGCAACAGTGTGGTGTGGGCCCCTGGCCCGGGCTGCCAAGATAAACATCCACAATGCCCAGCCCGAGGACCTGATGAACATGCAGCACTGCAACCTGCTCTGCCTGCCGGAGAACTACCAGATGAAGTACTACTTCTACCATGGCCTGTCGTGGCCCCAGCTCTCCTACCTCACCAAGGATGAGGACGGCAAGATAGTGGACTATGTCCTGGCCAAGATGGAGGAAGACCCCGATTATGTTCCTCATGAGCACATCACCTCTCTGGCCGTGAAGTGCTCACACCAGCACCTCAGCCTGGCCCAGAAGCTGATGGACCAGGCCTCACGGGCAGTGATGGAGAACTTCTGCTCCAAATATGTGTCCCTGGACATCATGAAGAACAACAGGGTGGCCCTGCATCTCTATTCTAACACCCTCAACTTCCAGCATTGCTTGTCTACATGTCTCAGCCACATCTATCCTGTGAACGAATGTCTTCCCTGGAGTTACCTCACAGTGTCTCGAATGGCTTCTCATTTTCAACTCTCCATGACCTTCCACATAAAGCTACTGTGATCATGAAGGAATACCTCAGCACAAGAACCTGCTGTACAAGAGCCAAGGAAGCTTGAGGCCTGCCATGAGAGAGCATCCCAGACCTCCTCTCACCATGCTGCCACTGTACTGTTTGCAGTGGTCCTACCTTGGCCTGTGGTCATGCGGCACAGTTGTCTCCTAGAAATGCCAAACAGTAAGCAGGGACAACTCTTGAAACTTCCAGTTTGCAGATTTCGCCTTTATTTATCTGGGTTTCCATCATTAAGAGGGTAGTTGGCACCATCAAGTTAGACCTCATTCCCCCTTCCTCGTCCAGTGCAAGTTGTCTGTTTACTCTCGCTTTCTCTGGAACTCCGTGTCCTGTTCTCTGCCTTCAAGGGGTATTTTTCCCCCTTTCCCAGTGGGAGAATGTGATAACGAAGAGCTCTACTACACCACACAAGCAGAGTATATGGATTTTAAGAAAAGAACAAGCAGTAATTAAACTGGACAATCATCTGCTTGCTCGCATCAGTTGCTTTCTGTCTCTGTGTTTGCTTTCTGTTGTAATGATGTCACTTGCCATTCTTGAGGTCGGAGAGTGCACGTGCAGTGCTACGGCATTTACTAACATGTAATCCTGTGGGTCACCCTGTAAGGTGGGCATTATTAATTATCTCTGTTTTACAGATAAACAGAAGCAGTGCAGCAAATAGCTGTTTGGGACTTCAGCCCAACCTGGCTCCTGTTGCTCCTGTTCAGATTCTGTATTTATGTGCAAAACAATGTTAAAATGTCACAGAAAGGAGACTGCTGTTTAAAACTGTTCAGTGTTGTTGACTTAATATATGACAACCACATGCCAAATGTAAATATTTATCTAATCTTCAATTGTAGTCCCTGTTAGTGACTTAGAAAATATAAGTGAAGGAAAAGGGCTTTGACGCTGCAGAAGTCACAGGTAGATCAATTTAGAACTGAGTAATGTTTTCATGTTCTCTGAATTTTAATTACCAAAATATCTGTTTATGTTTAGATTTTTATGAAACTGGAGTATATGGATTTATATCTAAGCCCTGACATTAACCAGCTGATGGCAAGAGATAAGTCTGTTCTCTGTAATCCATATCAGCCCTGATAAGTACGTCTTACAGATATACCTCAGTATGTGGAGAATGCCTAAGGGTGAAGGATTACCTGAGGCAGAGCTAGAACTCCATTTTGTGTGTCTACCTGGTCCTCTCTGTCTTTCCATTTTCCTTTTTAATTTTCTCCCTTACCTCTTTCCCCTCAAGCATGTGATTATCTCTTTATTTTTAAATATTACCACTTCCTAACATCTGTCTCTAGGGCAGCATAATCTTACTGATGAAACATTCCATGTTTTCCTTGAGCCCTGGGCAATGTCTTCGTGTTAACAGCTCAGCAGATGGAGAAACAGAAGGAGTAGCCTCAGCTTACCTGAGTGATTTCTCTCCAGCTCAGCACCAGCCACATCGAGTCTCTAGTAACCTGATGTTAATCATCGGAGCAATTGGGAAATAAGAAAGGTTTCCAGACATTTGCAGTGCCACTGACTAAAACTATTGGCACATTTCTTTGTTACCAGGGGACAACAGAAACCCAGCAATGCAGCAGTCTACCTAGTTTGGGGTATGCCTGTTTAGATAATAAGAGTAAACAGTATTTAACATTGTTTAGGGCATGAATTAACAAGTTCTGGGTGATCCCACGAGAGCGCTGCTGACTGAGCAGAAGCAGCAGTTTCTCCCAACTCTGGGATGGGTACCTCATGCTGCTTTTGTAACAGCATTGTTCTTTTCAGACAAAAATTATGATTTTTTTTCTGAATAGACTACTTACTTTTTACTTAAGCCTGATCCTAGAGAGACCAAATCAAGGATGTAGAATAGTTCATGGTATGAGTACAGATGTGCCGGCTGTAGAGAATGACTCATACCCCTTCTTAATGTGTGGCTTTACTGAAACTATTGAGTGGACCTGGGTCTGTCAGCAAATTGTTCAAATGTATTACTCACCAGAATGTTAAAGTTTTGTTTAGTTGTGGCATCTACTTGTGAATGAAGCCTGTTAAAAATTTGGTTTTCCCTTTGAGATAAGAGCAATAAGCAAGAGATGATGGAATATGGGAGTGAGTGAGATACATGGAGTAGTGCTGAAAATGGAATCAAAGCTTATAAGCTTTGAAGGATCAAGAAATAAAGAAATTTTTCTAATTAAAAAAAAAGAAAGTTCATATCAGAAACAAAGCTGGAAACCCAAAAGTCCATCAACATCAAAATGGATGAGTAACTGCCCCATATTTATAGAATGAATCAGAGAAACTGAATCATCTACTGCTACAAGTAACCTGGATGACTCATATAAATATAATACTGAATAAATGCAGTGGCATTCAAAAGAATTTCTACTATATAGTTCAATTTATATAAATTTCAAAATGAGGCAAAATTCTTCTCTTATGTTACAAGTCAGGGTTGTGGTGAGCCTTAAAGAAATATGGTGAGGAGTCATAGCTGCTGGACATATTCTGTCTTTTGAATTGGGTGCTATTTAGAAGGATGTGCTTAGTTTATGAATACATAACCAGTTTTATACTTATGATCTATTTACTTTGTTATATGAATGTACACAAACAGCAAAACTTCAATTTAAAAGTTTAAGACTATACTACCATACTACAGGTAACTTATGATAGAAATTTTAGGTTTGATATTTTATTTTATTTTTTTTTTTTGGTTTTTCGAGACAGGGTTTCTCTGTGTAGCTTTGCGCCTTTCCTGGAAC